AGTCTCTAAATTTTTTTAGTGACATTTGGCCACACTTTTAAGAAAAAGTGTCACAGGCCGTTTTTCGGAAAGTGTGACAGTAGGTCATTTTTATACTAGTGCTCGCCGAGTCGGGCCTTCCGACTCGTCGAGTTGGTTTCAACCCGCGTACAAAATGTCTCGACTCTACTCGACGAGTTGATCTCCCATCACGCCGAGCCCATGCATAAAACCTCCCCAATTTGGCAACTTTCCAACCAACACCTGAACCGGGTGTTACAATCAATTTTGTCACGCTTGTTAATGGGATTTTGAAATTGATCTGTTGTTACTTGCAAGTGCTTTGAGTAACCTAGAAAGTCCTATTTTGGAAGCTGAGTTGCAACAAATGGAGTATTAATTTTAAGCTAAACAGCTTAGATTTCGTGAATAGAGCACACCACGAATTTTATGCATACAATCATGTATTCTTCTAGATGCATCTATTCATATATAAACAAATGGAAGTTTGAACAAAAAAAGAGCATATTAATGACAATCATTCTTGGATGAAATTAGAACTCGCATTTACTCTCTCCTTCCAAACAGGAAACCTCACTTGACGGGTATATTATACCATTTCATATTATCTTTTAATGGTTTTTTTTATTCTTATCATGTACTTTTCTCATGATGTAGTTTGTACAGGTTTATGGCTAGAAAAAGGCAAAGAGTACATTTTTTGGAACAATTTGTAAGGGTTGTAGTGGGTTGTTAAGATTCTTGATTTTCCAATATAAGGTTGCTGCAAGGGCAATTCGGTCCCATAGGGTGGTCTGAAAAAGGGTAGAAAAGGGTAGTTGAGTTGAAGTGGAAGATTGTTCCAGGTAGAAGGGGGTGGAATGGGTAACAAAGGATAATTTGAAGAAATTAGGATAGGTGGTCAGCGAAGTCATCTTTGACCTTGTCACTACTTTCCGATACCTCTTGGTGTTCGTTTTTATGACATCTAAATTCGTCATTTTTTTAGATTCAAGAAAGCTGTGACAGGTGGCCCCACAGTGACTTTTATTGGATTCCACTGGGGAGATGGTTTGGGGTCAGTAGAATTTTTTTGTCTATTGTAGTTTTTCTATAAAAGAATTTTTTAGATGTATTTCATTTAATATTGGGATGTTATCATTACCAAATTCAATGGATGAGATTGTAAGACATGTTTTTGTGATATTTAAAGTGTTATCAAGTGTTGAATAACTAAAAACAAAATTTGAGTGTTATGTTGCAATTTAGCTCAATTGTCATTCAAGATTTGTGGTTAGTTTGGCCAAATACTAAAAAAATACATTATTGTTTTATTATCAAATTTATATCCAGGGGTTCCAGGACACATCAATCAAGACAAAGGCAATCTAACAAAGATTAACCAGTATTCACAGCAAAGTTTCATTTTTAACCTATAATGTCAACCTACATTCATTTAGAATACATAATGGCAGCAAAGTTTCATTCCTAACCCCAAATAAAAGCTTATTATCATTTTTAACCCAAAAGTATGATGCTATTTTGTGATACAAATGAATGTATGGTGCGTGATAAAAACAAAAGTATAATGCTATATAATGCTTTTTTGTGAAAAAAAACGAAAGTGTGATGGTATTTTGTGATAAAAATGAAAGTATGATGCTATTTTGTGATTTAAACGAAAGTATGCTGCTATTATTGGTTAAAAAATGTTGGATGATGTTATGTGTTTAAAATGAAATTTAGAGGTTATCATACAGAAAAAGCCACACCATTTTTCACAAGGTCAGTTAACAAACACATCATACAACCAACTAGGAAATCTGGAAATTAAATCATTCACATTTAATTAAAAAATCTAGAAATTTGGAAAGTTAGTTTTACACTCAAATTTCATTAAAACAATAAAACCTATATCACTATATACAATGGTGTTTGTACAACTGTTCTAAATTATAATCCATGCTAACATTTCTACATCTTATCTTTACTTCAAAAACTATATTTGATCAACTGGTTGAGAATTAAAATCAGTCACTGATCGATACACTATCATCAAAAAAGAGCAATGGATCTATCTGTTACATTAGCCAAAGAGTACCCAACAAATTTATTCACAGATGCTGCTTCTTGAGCATTGATCAAAGGAGATATCTAGAAACCCCATATCCACTAACTCGGTATACTATCTGTTACAAGGCGAGAAGAAAAGAAGGGTTAAAACTTCAAAGAACACAAATTAATATTAAAATAAAAAAAGGTCCAAATTTACCTCTTGAAATCACATTTCCACCAAAAGCCATGATAATCAACATTGCAAAAGATACAAATGTGTTAGCCACAATCATATTACACCCCAAGGATCCCATCAAGTAGAAAATACTAATGGACATTTGGTGAAGGAAGAAAAAAAAAGCAGAAACTGCTTTAAAAACCTGAAGATTTATTTATAAGAAATTAAGAATCGTCTTGGTTTGACCTTGCGTGAAGAACTGTTGACTATCATAAAGTATAAAATTTACGTGACAATATTTGGATCAAGTCCAACCACATAGTATGTAAACGCCAACCAGATACCAGATTCTATGAGTAAAGTTGGGATACACAAAATCCAAGAAGGAAGTGTATAAACCCAACAAGGGTAAAATTGTAAATCCCTACGCTTGTATATCACTGGATGCTTGGCTACTAACATTGACACTTCAGTGAACCCAATGAAGAGAAGAATCACCATAGAAAAAAGCCTATGCCTTTTAAGCCATATTAAGACAAAGCTTCATTAAGGCATTTAATCAAACACTTGGTGTATATTATCAAAAACATTAAATCAGAAAACGAAAACACATAGAATTAAACTCGTATCGTTCACAAACCTCAATCTAATGAAATTAGTATAAATTAAATTTAATTTTACCTAAGGCACACCAAGAACAAACTGAAGAAAATGACATCGAAAAAGCCTCATATTGTCACCTGATTAACCAGAAAAAAAAATAAGGAATAAAGGATGATAAAAATACATACATCGACTCTAAATAGGATAAGTCTGTTTTATTTATGAAACTTCATGATTAATTTGATTAGGAAGAATTAATGAACACACGCAATCATGGAATCATTCGAAAATCAGTAAAGCTCTAACATTAATCCAAGAACTGATGCCAAAATCAAGAACCAAAATCTGCTATATAAGTGTTAATCGATGGTGAATCAGCAAAAATCAAGTAACTGTGCAACCTCAGTGTTTTTAGGAAGGATATAGTAGTTCTCAGTGTTTGTTTCTAGGAATGAAGTTTTCACGTATCAATTTTTCTTTCCAACGAAATCAACAACCAAACCACACTGTTTTAATAACTGGGTACCTAATCTTATATACCCTTAAAGCTATATTCATTTTTTCCATATACAGGGGTGTATCTAGTATTGCCCAAGGTAGGTCCTAGGACCTACCTAAATTTTCAAATTCATTTACAATATATATTGTAGAAAAATTAGGAATTACCTTAGAAAAAATAAGCGACCTACCTTGAGTTTGTTTTTAAAAATATTGTCTTAAAAAATCATTTTAAAAGAAAAAAAAATAAGTTAATAGGATCAATTTGTTATTTTAAATTATGGGATTGATAAAAAAAATTAACCACTTTTAATCGGCACTCTCAAAATATCAATAAACAAATAAATTGATGTAATAAAAAGAAGCCCACATGTTAAAGACTCTCACTCTCTGTTCACCGCTTTATCAATGGACTAATAATCAACTAGTTTTTCCTTAAAAACGTACTGCTTTTTTCATTTATATTTCAATCGTTTTGTTAAATTTTTTTATTGGTGGTGTCTGATCGGTTTTAACAAGTTGAACTGATTCGTCCAGTTTTTTAAGGTACACGACCCGACCCGACCACAGACAAGTGTTGTTGAATTTTTTTTTATTGACTTCACTTAATTTGGGAACTATGTGATTTTTTAGACTAGATTCGCCACTGCCCATATATATATATATATATATATATATATATATATATATATATATATATATATATATATATATATATATATATATATATATATATATATATATATATATATATACACACGTATAATGTATGTTTTCTAATAATTTTTTTATCAATACACATCGGCGACTTATTTTCCTCGAAATCAAATTTTATATGCTTGGCTCTTGATCAATATGATTTAATAAACATTTCCGAACAATGGAAAAACTAGATTGGCCGATTGATATTTTTGTCGTATCTGACTAACATGTGTTACCTCCAGGTGACAAAAGGGTGGCGGCCATTAAACAAACCTTTATTCGTCTCTGTAATAACATTTTTCTCTAGCATATCCGCTATGTACCGAAAATAAGGTAGAACTATTTTCAGTATTGCAACTTAGGGATGATATTACTTGTTTTGTCTGATTTCATATGCCATATGTGTTGTACATGATCTTCTATCGAGGAAACTTAATGGAACGGGCGAATACATCGATGGTTATTACTACTTCAGACACCTTATGGTACAACCTGTCACAATCGGATCTTCTATGCTCGAGCTTTGGCATAAACATATAGGGCATCCATCTGGATATATATATGCGAACATATATACACATAAGGCATGTGGAACATATATAAACATAAGTAGTTATTTAACTGCTAAATATATGCGAACAGTGGGTATATTAAGACTATATTAATTTTGCTTCACTTCTTAGTCACCGACAAAACCCATTAATCTATTTGTAGAGTTTTAACTAGACATACTGAAATTAAAAACATTAATGCAGGCTATGAGACTATACAATCATTTATGTCAATTCTTCACAAAATTTACAAAGTGAACAAAAATTCCCCTTATAATATTATTTTGGTCAAGCATGTAAAGACAAACTTTGAATGTAACTGATATCTTAATTACCGTTATTTATTAATTTGATGGAGACTACTACGTGAATTTACCTAATTGTGCCCTAAAAGATACACTTAAAGCAAACCTTGACGTGAGCAGAGAGGATTTCTTATATTCTTTATTTTTCTTGACAATGTTTTCCTCAGGCTCAAACCCTTTTCCCGAGTTTCCCTCATCCCCCAATATATTCTTTCCACCTAATTTTCACTTTAACCATGAAAAAGATTGTGCTTGCTTTAACTACCACCTGAATAATAGCGACCCATTAATCTCCGGCGATTGTTTTCACGATACAAATAACAGTCTTGCTCCTCCTTCTCCGCCCATACATAATATCACTACAATCAAGCAAGATTTTGGTAGGCAGAAGCAGTTGTCTTCTGAAGAACAAGTGTTCCAGACTTGTGAAGATCATGATGATCTACAATCGGTAATTTCTTCCTGCAAGAAGAAAACGGTGGCATCAAAAGATGGGCATAGTAAGATCTACACAGCTCGAGGCCCCAGGGATCGGAGGGTGAGATTGTCCATTGACATCTCACGAAAGTTCTTTTGTCTTCAAGACTTGTTAGGTTTTGATAAAGCAAGTAAAACCCTTGATTGGCTCTTTTCGAAGTGCAAGATAGCGATTAAGGAGTTGGTTGAAGAAACAAATTTCTACTCATCTTCCACTTCCACAGCGTCTTATCAATCAAAAACGAGTTTTCTGGAAGCGATGATGGGTGTACGTGATGGGGGCAAATTGAAAAAGAAATCAGAACTCAAATATGTTAAAGGAAAAGCGAAGAAAATCACACAAAAATCAAAAGGAGGATTTCAAGATAATCTTGAAAGAGGCCACTCAAGGGCCATGGCAAGAGCGAGAGCTAGAGAAAGGGTGAGGGACAAGAAGCGAATCAGAAAGCTTGATGAGTTGACGACAATTATGGTTCATGATGATTTTGACTATCAAGTAACCCCTTTAAACCTAACATTCAAACTGTGTGGTGAAAAAACGATAACAAATAAAGACTTGATAATTGAGAAAATATTGGAACATAAAATTTATTGAAATCAAAACATATCAATATCTAAAATTTAAGAACAACGATTTACTGTAGTTTTGAGCATGAGTTTAATAATTTCAATTCGCATTAATTATTCTAACACCCATGCAATAGTAATCAACTGGATATGGATAATTTTAGTATTTGTTTTCTTGTTTTCTTTTAACAGGACTTCAAATCAAGTGCAGGAGATAATCATATGGTGATCTCAGCGCATCCTGCAGTCTGGTGATCATTGATCGGCAGTATTCTTTAAAGCTGGAGTGACGATATTTTAAGGATGTAAGTCAATTGTTGTTGATTAGTTAATAGGAGTTAATGATCCATATATATATTGTTATCCTTTGATGCTTTTGAGTGATGTTCTAGATCTATTGAATCTTGATTGACCATGTTGCATTAAGGTGTGTAGCTAGTTGACCTAATACAACCTAGTACTACTCTAGTACCCTTCTAATTTGGTCAAATATATTTGAGAATGGAAAGTGCTTAAGGGTTTAATTATAACATATTTGAATATTTGATCATTGATTTTAGTCAATGGCTCAATGCATCGTTATTGTTGAGACGATATTGGAATATAAGATTTCAAACGAATCAAATACTATGAAGCTCTAAAAATTAAAAACACCAATGTACTGTAGTTTATTTTGAGTGGTTTTCGTTGGCATTAGTTACTCTTAACACCCATGAACTACTAATCAAATGGAGATATGGATGATTAATGATTATACTAAATTACATTTTATTTTCTGTTAACAGAAATTAAAATCAAGTGAAGGATATATCATAGCATTATCTTGTTGCTTCCTGCAGCCTGATTGTACTTGTTTATGCATGGTCGAGCTTGAGTAATATTTTTTTTAAGGATGCAAGTCATGCAGAATTGTTTTTTATTAATTAATAATTAATATTGTTATGGCAGTTAATACTTTTGAGGGCTTCTATTGAATCTTTATTGATATGAGATAATGCCATTCTTACTATGTTGCATAAATGTTAGAGCCTCTGAGTTTCGTGTTGTTGACTTCCAAAAAGCTAGTACCCTTCTTAGGTCAACTAAATTTCAGAATGAAAGTTTATCATTCTCAAAGGGTTAATCATGACATATTTATCACCGATCATACCCGTTCACGAGTATAAGTTCTGATACGGCCAGGGAATCCACTAATATAAAGTAACATTTTTGCTTGCATTACATCATTTAAAGTTCTTATATATCAACAAGGTTAACCGGTCAATGCTTAAAACGGTTGATGTATTGGTTTTTGGATGAGTTTGAGGGAAACACGTTTGTGTGGATCATATACGGGTATCCCTGCTCGTAGGCTTGACAACTAGGGGTTCCAAGGCGGAGTAGATTGTTTTAAAACTTGTTACATGTAAAGTCACAAAACATGAGAAATCGTGCATGGAAAATGAACACGTGTTTATGCCATTTGTGTTTGATACGCTTGGTTTGCTCGCGTCGGATGCAGTAAAGCTTTTAAATAGAATACAACGTATCATGCATGACAATATTAAGTCCCTTAGATCTATTGATATAGTCTTCAACAGAATTGGTTTTATTATACAAAAGAATTTAGCAGCGTAGATTGCTGCGATTTGCCTTCTCACTCAATGTATTGTGATCACTAATCATTTATACACGAAAATATCCTTTATGTTGTTTTTAAAAAATAAATAAATAAAGAAAAGTTTTAATTTTTTCATCATTGAAGATGAGCATTATGATCTTCAACAATACGAAGGAATATTATCATCTTTTTTCGTCAAGGTTTTCTAGATTAAAGCTTCATCACATATGGTTTTTGAATGTGAAGAACACATCACCGAAAATCATTACTAAAACCCTAAACAAACCCAATACAACAAGCTTTAGATTTGAGTCACGAAACTACAAAATACTTTTAGGAAATCTAATATCAGGAATCTCCATTTCTACAAAGATATGGAGACGAAGGTATTGCAAGGCGGGATATAGGTGCCAAGTATCAACAACTTTTAAAAACCCTACAACTATGAAATATCGTCGTAGTAGATGGGATATAGATACGATGTTATGGTTGTCTTATAGCCTTCATAGGTATAGCTAACATTTCTTGCAGTAGTTATATCTTATAGAAATGAAGAGCACGGGAATGTTTCCAAAAATGATGAATTATCTTAAACTCCATCACAACAAAACCTCGAGGATATGAAGAAGAAGAAAGGAAGCCCTCATTATTCGTATGTGTCCCTCATTTTTTCCACATAATACTAACCAACATGGTGGAGAGATTACTTGATGGTGGTTGACATAGATTAAAAAACCCAAAAATTGGTGATGTTTTATTTGATCATCGACTTACATATGAACAAATCAAGTTGTTGTAATGATTTTGATATTAATTTTCAAGGGATGCTATTGGTTGATCAATATGAAGAAATCCTTGAACATTAAATGAGCCTTTTGTGGGAATAACAATACGATCAAGAAAAGTATCTCTATTATCAAAGAAATAGGTATCAAGGATGAAGGCCCATCTTGGTTATCTCCTACCAATGAACTATTAGCCCACCATGTAGAACTTTCCATTGGCATGTGACATAAAAAATAATAGATACAAGAAAACAAAACAAATAGGGAGCATCAATGACCATGTACAAAAATAAGAAGGGAGCTAGTTCCTAAACTACGTATATAATACAAAAGTAGTGAAATTATAAAATAGCGATAAACCAAGAGGCGTATGCTAATAAAACAAACTAAAATTAAAGGGAAATCATAGAAAGGCCTTTCAAACTATATGACATATACAAAAGTGAAATGGGAGGTAATTCCTAAACTACATATATATTACTCTATTATATTAATTATATGCCTCTACACCCTCATATATAAGGTGATGTACTCATAAACAGCTTATTTATTCAACTCTAACCTTTTGGTATTTTCTTATTTACTTCTTGGGCATGATTTTCTACTTACACAATGTTAGTCCTTTAGATTTGATGAAGTCAAAGTTGTTACTGCCGCTGATGGATATTAGTGTGTGTATTCAATAGTCACCTCAGTAACCCTGATGAAGATGATTCGGTGATAAGACCTTCCATATAACAGAAGACTCTATTTTAGTAAGGGATTGAGTTTCCTATTTTATCTATCTTGTATGTTAAGATATAACTTTAGGTATTTTGTTGTAAATACCGACATCCCTCATTGTGAAGGATTATCGATCAAGAGTGTAATAATCAGAGTTTGTTCTATGATTATCTCTTGGGTTACGAAACTATTCTTTTTCAATAAAATTTTAGGTTCAAAGTATTCTCCATTATTCATATATTTGATTGTATTTACTTGATTGAATCTAAGCATATTTGTTCTTTATAGATTCATCAAGTTTATCTTCTTCCTTGTTTAAATACCACTACCTAAACAAATGTCCTCCCTATAAACGAATAAAACAACTTATTTATGTGGTTAAGAAAACCATGATTGTTTTGGAAACCATGGATATCTACACGATTGACATACTAAAAGATGGTCCTTATGTTCCATTAAGAACTATCACATAAGAAGGAAAACCACCCTACATTGTTCATGCTCTTATTCATCAATGGATTGAAGAAAAAAAGAAGAAAGCTAATATAGATGTCAGGGCAAGGGTGTATATCTGTTCTTCACTTCCTTATATGAATTTTATCATCTTATTGAAAATTATGTATGTCTGCAAAGGAAATCATTGAAACCACGAAGGCCACTTATGAAGGGACTGATGAAGTTCACAACAATCAGAAGAACACCCTTATTCGTAAGTATGAATACTTCTTTGCTTATAAGAATGAATCTCTTACAAACACATTTAATAGTTTTAACCGTTTTATCAATGACTTGAGGAAATTTAACCTCATAAAAATATGATTTTCTTGTTCATAAGTTTCTTGACTCTCTTGATGAGAGTTGAGAACATCATGCTGATGTCTTGATGAATAGTGAAAAGATTAAAGAGCTAAATCTTCAAAGTGTATTTGGAAATGTAAGTAACTATGAGCAAAACAAGGCCAAAAGAAGAAAAAGTATCAGACCGATGAAAGATGTAATGAAGGACAGTCTGTTGCATTAATTTCCTTGAGTTTGAAGGTTATTAAAGATCTGAGTGAAGATGAAGACCTCTTCTCTAGTGAAGATCTTGAAGATGAGGATGAGAAATTCAAACACGTTCAAGTAGAATCATAGTACTTTTAGCCTAAGGAATATTAAATCAGATTCATCCCTTCGATCTAAAAAAACTAATACTGCTAACCATTATAAGTGTTATAAGTGTAGTAATACATGTCACTTTGCTAGAGAATTTTGTGTCAAGTCATCAGATCAAAAGGACGAGTCATATGAAACCCAATACAAGTTATTTGTTGCTAGGTTGAAGACACAAAACCTTGGGTTTGAAGTATTGACGATGAAGATAGTGTTGAGAAACAAAATATGCGTCTAAAGACAAACGTGGACTCCTTTAGCAAAGCAGCAACTCCATTTCCTTTGAACTTGATCTTGCTCAAGATGTAATAGAATGTGGAAATCATGAATGGGATCTGCCATCCATATATCATGTTAAAAAGTCTATAAGTTACTTTAAGAATAAAAATGTTATGATGTTTGAGTATCCGTGTCTTTATCTTGAAAAATCACCAAGAAAAATGACCTTAAAAACAAACATTACTCTATAATTTCAGAAGTTAAAATCAACAATCTTGAACTATCAAAAAAATTTAACCAATTTTTCCTTAAAGAAAGGTGTGAAGCTATTTTAATATTTGAAAACATAAGAAAGATTGTTAAAAATTGGACTACTTCTTACACTAGAGTCACTACAACTGTTAATGATAAAATCCCATCTCAAGTTGTCAAAATAATTGTTGAAATTTTTCAAGATGTTGTTAACATTTATGAACAAATTAAATAAGATCCAAGATTTCCTGACATTTAAGATCTTGTTGAAGATTATCTAAAATATTTTGTTAAATCAATTGAATCTAATGAAGAAGCCATTGTTAATAAACATTGTGAAACTGACATAGATGGTAATATAATTCTTAAAGGATGCATTATTTCCATGTATCCATCAGCACAAAGCATTTTTCAAGAAAACTTTCAAGTGATGGAGAGAAAGTTGTTATGTTTCCAATTTCAAATGGAGAGAAACATTAAGCTCTTGATATAATTCTTCAAAACTCTAAGATTTATATGTCATCGGATGATTGTGAGCATTGTGACTCATTAGTGGATGCTTTCTCTAAAACATTAGTATCTTCATCCATTGGTGCTTCAAGATCAACATCCAATGTTGATTGTTTCCAACGGAGTAGTCGTCCCTTAGTTTAACACTTCTCAAATAAAACATGTTTTTTTCAAAAATAAAATGTTTTTAGAAACCTAAAACTAAAGAGTCTGATTCTCAAAAGTCAAAACCAAAAACAAAAGTTAGTGAAAGAAAATGATATAACTTTGGAAATAGAGATCATGTTGCTCATGATTGTCCTCGTGAAAAAGGGTCAAAAAGAAAAGATAACATATTTCTTAATTATGGAAAATGGATTATGAAATAGAACTCCCTAAATTTTCTTCCTCTAGAATGTTATAATATTTTTCATTCTGTTAAGTTTGTAGTAAGTAAACCCATTGTCAAATGGGTTAGAAAGGGAATCGAATTTTGTTTGATTGTCGTGCTAAGGACATGAGCATATTTGGTATCTTGATCATGCTTCTTTACGGCACATGACAGGTTTAAAGTTTCTTCTAGAAGACTTTTTCAAAGAGTATGGCCCTAGTATTACTTAGGAGACAACAACAAAAACTTTACCAAAGTGCATGGTACTCTCATATGTAACTTTGTCATGTTCTCAAATGTCTCATATGTGAAAGGTTTGAAGTACACTTCAGTGCAAGCAGTCAATTGTGTGATGT